AAGATGTCTCAAGAATTCTTTGACCAACGGCTTTGAACCCAAAGGTCTTTCCTACATCATTTGGAATTTCGTGTTTGTGTGGATTCCCATACATATGAAGTTAAGTTTTTTTCTGTTAATCTGCATCATATAAATGTCTTTCGTACTTCAGCTAGAAGGTCTTGAAAAGCAGGAATTTCTTCCTTCTCATCAACCTTTAACTCCATTAAAAAGTGAAAAAACAAAAACAAAAAAAATGAAAAAAATTACCATGAGGTAATTAAAAAACATTAAAAAAAAATTACCATGAGGTAAGAGAATCTACTATTATACACTGCTGTCAATTTAGCACCTATATACAACAGAGCATGCATATTGACTCTTGAATCAATAAACACAGGAAACTAGCTGGTGTGGTCTTGTTTCAATGTAGTTTCTAAAGGCAGCTTAGTATGCTTTAAGAGAAACCAGTTTTAGTGACTAGTCAATAACAGGATGTAATTATTTAACTTTGGCTCAAGTTTTTTAATTAGGAATTTTATGTTTGCTGTTTTTCAAAGTCAACTAATATAAACCATATGTAAGACTGACTCAACAATACAGCTCCCTATATTATGTATGTATAGAGAAAACTTAAAAAATGGTCCAATTTAAATAAATTTCTACTCAGGATTTTTCATTCTCTGGATTACAAATAAATTTAACTACTCCCTGAGAATTATGTTCCTATGAAAACTTTAAGGGGATAGGCTTTCAGCTCTGGTTATGAATTTTCAGTGTTTACTCAGACTTGTTCCACAGTGGAGGAGAAATTTTATCTTTTGGGTTATTACTCTCATTCCCACATAACTTCTATTACCATAATGACAACATCTTGTCAAGAAATCTTCCTGGAGTTCAAAGCCCCCAGATCAGAGTATCACAGATGCTATTTTCTGTGGCCCCACTGTTAAAATAGGCAAGAATGCTGGGAAATTTGTATTCTTCTTGTTCAACCTTCATGATCCTACATCATTGGTGAATGAAAACATCTTCATAACAGTAAAAACTTCACCCATACAAGGATGGCAATGGTTCCTTTGAAAAATATTTTTATCCTATTTGTGGTTAAGTTTTTCAAATTAACTCATCTTTCAAGGACCCTATTGCTGATCTTCATCATTTACTCATGGAAAATAATCCTTCCTCCTTTTAAGATTAGTTTGTATTTTTTTAACAACTATTTGAGAGAGAGTGAGAGCTCAAGCACAAGCAGGGGGAAGGGGCAGAGAGGGAGAAGCAGACTCCTGGCTGAGCAGGGAGCCTGAGCCAGGGATGGATCCCAGGACCCTGACATCATGACCTGAGCCAAAGGCAGATGCTTAACCGACTGAGCCACCCAAGTGCCCTTAGTCTGCATTTTTAAGAATCATTAGATGTTAAAACATTTGGAGCTACTTGTGATTTGTTCAGTTTTCACTTCAGTCCAAAATTTGGGTTTGCTTTTTCCTTTCGTCCCTTTTTACCATTTCAGTATCATAAGGTAGATTTTTAATTTAGTAAACCTTTATGCTCCAGCAGTATGTAAATTTTCCCTTATGCTTTTCCTTAGAAAAATATAATTTTCCAGTAGTTTTCCAAACTCAATTAATTTGGCAGGCTTATCAAAGCTTTTAGACACTCAGCTTCCAAAACTAAATGAGTATTTTTATTCCTATTCATGATTTTCACCTAATTTTATTGATAACTCCATGTTTATAGGAGTATATACGAAGCCTTTGAGTTACATTTTCAAATAGTCCAAGATAGAGTTAATGAGTAATTCCAAAGATAAAAATGTTTATCAATATTTTTGTTTACCAATATTTTTAAATCTAGGAGCACTTATTTCATTTTATTTTAATACTCTGTAAAGTTAACTGGTTCAAGTTTTGATCTAGGTGGAAAACTGGTTTCATTACCATTATTCCCACTCTGGTCATTTGCTGCTTTAATCTGGTTAAGAAAATAGATGCTTAATTTATTTCTTAAACTTTTGTATCCTCCTATATCTAATTTTTCTTTTAACTAACACCAC